GTAGAACGGCTTGCCTTCAGTAGTTGAGGGTCAACATCACTGGAGGCTTTTAAGAAGAGACTGGACAGCCACTTGTCTGGAATGGCATAGAGCCATGATGGCACGCATGCCGGAAGTGGCATGCAGAGCCATCTCTCCGGGCACGTCAGCCGTTGCCTGTTGCTCTTCCGGGTTCCAGCACGCCAGCCAGCTGATCTTCGTGCACGCAGGAGCACCGGTAACCGGAAGAGCAGCTTCCTGAAGCTTAGCTTTCAGTTTCCGGTGCGGACATGCTCACCAGCCAGCTGGTCTTCACACGTGAATGCGTACCAGAAACCAGAAGACCAGGTGACCGGCGCATATGCTCTTCCGGTTTCTGGCACTCCCACGCGTGCGTGCCAGGGAGTGCTCTTCCGGTGTCCTGTGCTCCCACATGCACACATGCACTCCCATTTCAGCACTCGGTGCAGAAAGTTTCACCAACACTGGCATAGGGTCTCCTGCTTGAGCAGGAGATTGGATAAGAAGCCCTCCAAGGTTCCTTCCAACTCTGTTAAATAGAAGTCAGAAGAGGTAGCTCTTTAGCTTACCAAGGCTTTGGGCAAGAGAGACCAAAGCTGGGAAAGACTTGGATTGGGTTTGGTCATCATCTAACGACTAGTGGGATTCGGTTATAATGACAATAACAGGAAGTGCTAAAATTGCTGCCACTAAGCAATGTGTCACACCATCACTGGAGGCTTTTAAGAAGAGACTAGTCAGTCACTTTTCTGGAATGGTATAGGGCTGTGATGGCGAACCTATGGCACGAGTGCCACAGGTGGCACATGGAGCCATATTGTTGGGCATGCGAGCGTTGCCCTAGCTCAGCTCCAGCACGCATGCGTGCACTGGCCAGCTGATTTATGGGCTTTCTGGGCCCAATGGAAATCAGCAAACGGGCTGTTTCCGGCCTTTGGGGAGGTGGGGAAGGCTGTTTTTGTCCTCCCCAGTCTCCTCTGGGGAGGAGAGCCTCTGGAGCCTGGGGAGGGCAAAAAATGGGCCTACCGGGTCCACTGTGCCATCACATGCCAAAAGTGAGGGGACCATGGGGGGGGGGTCACTCACGCATGCATGGGGGTGGGCAGGGCGCATAGAATTATGGGTGTGGGCACGCATGCCCGCGACCGCCCCACATTCCCCCAGCTTTTGGCACGCGATGGCAAAAAGGTTAGCCATCATTGGTATAGAGTCTCCTGCTTAAGCAGAGGGTTGGACTAGAAGATCTCCAAATCTGTTATTCTGTGATTTCTCTCACCTACCCTGTTTCCCCCAAAATAAGACATCTCCTGCAGGGGTGGCTTCTACTTACCTTTACTACCAGTTCACAACGGGGCCGCGCTCGCGCTCTTCTGTGCATGCGCAGAAGCATTCTGATGACATCGGAGTCGGTGGGTGGAGCCTCCTGCCGGTTTTACTACCGGTTCTATAGAACCGGTGTGAAGCGGGGACAACCCACCACTGATCCCCTGATAATAAGCCCAATCAGGTTTTTGAGCGCATGGCAATAAGGCCAAGCGCTTATTTCAGGGTTCAAAAAAATATAAGTCAGGGTCTTATTTTCAGGGAAACGTGATATATCGACCTTCCTTGCCTGTGATGAAATTCACATGCCAGGAGGTGCCGCTGTTGCTACTGACTTCCCAGGGAACGCGGGCCCCATTCAGAACGAGATGCGTTTATTGTAACATCAGGAAAGATTTAAGACTCTGAAAAAAGTAGGATATCCTTCCAAAAAATAACAAGAACATTTCCCCTGTTTTGGATGATTGGGTAAATGCTACAAGTGGTAATCAAATAAGGGGATTATGTTGCCACTAGTTAAAAGCATTCATTTCTCAGGCATTTTTGTTTCTGCTACAGAAAATAAGACAGAATCTCTTTTTGAATATGACCTTCCTGTATGGGATCAGCGACGGCTTTGTTAAATGGCACATTTCCCCCCCCCCCCCATTTTTATTGAACACAATATAATTGATAGTATATTGAATAGAATGAAATAAACATTGAACATGCTTAATCAAGGGGTTAAAGTTACATATCGACTTAAGAGTTGGTGGTCAATTAACTAAAACGATTGACTTGCTTATTACATTCCATATAATCTGTATATTTGAGAAGAGTGCATGAAAAATACAAAATGTTAATCGGCAGGTAATTCGCAAGGTTTGGGAAGTCAGCGAAAACCATCTACCGTGTTTCCCCGAAAATAAGACCTTGTCTTATATATTTTTTTGAACCCTGAAATAAGCGCTTGGCCGTATTGCCATGCGCTCAAAAGCCCAATTGGGCTTATTATCAGGGGATGTCTTATTTTGGGGGACACAGAGTAAAAGTTTTCAGTAAATGTGAAAATGGCCTATCGGTCAATGTGCCTTAAATGCATTTTATTTTTGTTTTATACATTTATACTTGGCATTCTACACCATGGCATCCAAATCCGCTTACTAGTATACCCTGTTTTCCCCAAAATAAGACATCCCCTGATAATAAGCCCAATTATTATTAGAAAATAAGTATCATACTTAGGTTTATTTTCAAAGTAACCGTTTTGTTGTAAAAGTTAATAATAAATACACAACCTAAACCACGAGTTAATAAGATGTGTAAAAACCACAGCAGCCATTCACCTGCCAGTTTGGTCCAGTGGTTAAGGCATCAGGCTAAGAAAGCAATGAGACTGTGAGTTCAAGTCCTGCCCTAAGCTATGAAAGCCAACTGGGTGACTTTGGGCCACTCGGTCTCACTCACAGCCCAAACTTCCTCACAGGATAGTTGTGACGGGAAATGTAGGAGGAAGAAGAAAGGATGTTGGATATGTTTTTCCCCAAGCCTTGATTTATTTATTTCTGAAACTAATAAAGGTGGAGTACAATTCAATTCAATTCAAAATGCTACAGGTTTGAATGGCTATATAGATTGTTCCAAGCTTGGAATAGAATAACCAGCCATTCTACTGTTGGAGCATTCACAACTTCTGGAGGCAAGTTGTTCCACTGATTAATTATTTTAACGCTCAAGACATTTCTCTTTAGTTCTAGGTTGCTTCTCTCCTTGATTAGTTTCCATCCATTGTTTCTTGTCCTGCCTTCAGGTGCTTTGGAGAATAGCTTGACTCCCTCTTCTTTGTGGCAGCCCCTGAGATATTGGAAGACTGCTATCATGTCTCCCCTGGTCCTTCTTTTCATTAAACTAGACATACCCAGTTCCTGCAACCGTTCTTCGTGTGCTTTAGCCTTCAATCCGTCAATCATCTTCGGATTCTGATTCTGAGGAAAGTTTTAGGAATTTAGGCTACTCATCCCCGGATTAAATATATTAGCCAGGCTGATTTTTCTGGGGATCGATTTGCCACAAGAGTTCTGATATCTGCCACAATCAAGTCAATACAATTTACATCAGGGATGAAATCCAGCAGGTTCTAACAGGTTCTGGAGAACCGGTAGCGGAAATTTTGACTAGTTCGGAGAACCGGTAGCGGAAATTTTGACTAGTTCGGAGAACCGGCAAATGCCATCTCTGGCTGGCCCCAGAGTCGGGTAGGAATGGAGATTTTGCAGTATCGTTCCCCTGGAGTGGGGTGGGAATGGAGATTTTGCAGTATCATTCCCCTGCCACACCCACAAGCCACACCACGCCCACCAAGCCACGCCCACAGAACTGGTAGTAAAGAAAATTGGATTTCACCATTGATTTCTCTCTCTCTCTCTCTCTCTCTCTCTCTCTCTCTCTCTCTCTCATTTGCAAAATGGGCAACATAAATAAAGTTCATTATTTTTTTTTTTTTTTAAAAAAGCCCTTCATAGTTTTCACGTAAGGCTATAAAGTAGATGAACTTCCTTGTGCTTCTAATTAAGACCTGCAAAACAATTTTTTTTTCCCCCATCGTTTATAATATTTATATTCCCCTAAATGCCTCTGTTCTCTGGGTGGCTTACAGGAATAATTTAAAACCGTTAAACAGAACTGTGAAGTCTGAAATAGAATAAAACCACCAGAGTTAAAGGGAACGACGTTAGTGCGGCAAACGTTTTAATAAGCATTAACAGATTTTAAGATTGCCTGGGAAAATATTTTGTGCTCCAAAGTTTGGAGGTGTCACGCTCGCCCCCGGGAAAGTTCGCCCTCCCAACTGTGCAACGAGAAAAAAAAATGAAGTAGTTAGGATTTTCAAGGGTATGAATTACATCCCGGCAGTCCTTGATTTACAATTGCTTGTTTAGTGACCATTTGAAATTACACTGCCACTAAAAAAAAGTAAGTTATGACTGTTTTTTTTACACACTTGAAATTATGGTAGCATCCCCGTGGTCATAAAATCAAAATTCAGACCCTTGGCAACTGATTCATGTTTACGACAGCTGCAGTGTCCCGAGGTCATGGGATCCCCTTTTACGACCTTCTGAGAAGCAAAGTCAATGGGGAAACCAGATTCATTTAACAACTATGTTGCTAATTTAACAACAGCAGTGATTCACTTAACAAAAATAGCAAGCAAAGTCGTAAAATGGGGCAACACTCAGCCAAAAGGATTTTTCGAAATTACCATCAGATCATTAGTATTTCATATACAGTATTATATTAACACACTCTGATGCTAAGGAGTTAGACATTCTACTCCCCCTCCCCACCTGAAAAGAACTCTGTTCCAACTGCCAGTTGCCTTATATTCGCATGCTCTGATGCTACCCCTTCGCTAAACCGGGTGTGGGCGTGGCCAGCACGTGACTCATCTGGCCTGCAGGCTGGGACATTCTATTTCCCCTCCCTCTCTGTTCCAACTGCCAGTTGCCTTATATTAACACACTCTGATGCTACGGAGTTACACGTTCTACATTAAGTTTCAGGCTTTAAGTGTCAATTTTTCACGCCCGATCACATAGTTTCGTAGCAAAGCATGGGCGTCCAGCTAGTATATTATAGGAGAAAAGTTATACATACATGATTTTTATTGTTGTTGTTGTTTCTTTCATGTTTTGCAGGGATACAAATACGTCAACAGAGAAGGGGCGTGCTGTGGAAAATGTCTCAGAACCATGTGTGAAGATACACGTCTTTGGTCTCGAGGAGACGAAGACGTCATTTGGCATAACGTAAGGCATTGTGGTGAGGGAGAATGGGCATTTCTGCTTTCCTTGGGCAGACAGTCTTCCCTTCTGGTGAAGACTGGTTGGAAAGAAGCGCTTAACCTTATAAATTGTAAGAGCTGCACAGAGCTTCAAGGACCACTTTGTTTCGACAACATTTCAGCTGAAGCATCCCTTGAAGTGGCTCTTCGATGTGGCATAACCTCCACGGTTAAACATTGGCGGAATTGAGCTCTGGATTTCCAGAGTAACTTGGTTCATATGTTCAGCTGAAATATTATGACTTCATTTCTACATTCAGTCATGAAGCACTTTGTCATAACCTTTCTGATCCTGTCCGATGGACTGGAAGAAGAGACCACCCATATCAGAGGATCATAGAATCATAAGGCTGGAAGGGACATTGGAGATCTTCTAGTCCAACCCTCTGCCCAAGACAGGAGTGTTATACTATCATGGACCAATGGTTGTCCAGTCTTCTCTTGAAAACCTCCAGTGATGGAGCACCTCCAACTCCAGGAGACAAGATGTTCCACCGATTGATTATTCTCACTGTCAGGAAATTCCTCCTTAGTTCCATCTCCCTTTGACGACTTTCTGCTCATAACTTCTTCTCCTACCCATAGTTGTTATGGGTATAAATTGACTCCTTCTTCCCTGTGACATCCCTTCGAGTATTGAAATACAGGGTTTTTCTCTCTTTGTTAAGCTTTTTGTTGATAGTTGTGAAGTCATGTCTGACCCATCGCGACCCCATGGACAATGTTCCTCCAGGCCTTCCTGTCCTCTACCATCCTCTGGAGTCCATTTAAGCTCACTGCTTCAGTGACTCCATCCAGTCACCTCATTCTCTGCCGTCCCCTTCTTCTTTTGCCCTCAATCATTCCCAGCATTAGGCTCTTCTCCAGTGAGTCCTTCCTTCTCATGAGGTGGCCAAAGTATTTGAGTTTCATCTTCAGGACCTGGCCTTCTAAAGAACAGTCAGGTTTGAACTTCTCTAGGACTGACCGGTTTGATCACCTTGCAGTCCAAGGGACTCACAGGAGTCTTCTCCAGCACCGTAGTTCAAAGGCCTCAATTCTTTGGCACTCAGCTTTCTTATGGTCCAACTTTCACAGCCATACATTGCAACTGGGAAAACCTTAGCCTTGACTATATGCACTTTTGTTGGCAGGGTGATGTTGTTAAACTAAACATACCTAATTCCCTCAGCCATTCATCATACGGTTTGGCCTCCAGACCTCTTATCATATCCATGTTGCTCTTCTCTGCACTCTTTCTGGGGCCTCGGCATCTTTTTTGTATCATAATGATCTGAATTGGAGATAGTATTCCAATTATGACCTCACTAATGCAGTATAGAGTATATCACTTCCCTTGATCTTGATGCTATCCCTCTGTTGGTACAGAGAACTGGGACTGCGTTGGCTGTTTTTGCAACTGCGTCACAGAGTTGCACATTGTCTCCCTAAAGTAAGTTCAAGACTGCTTGGATTTATCTCCTGTGAAATGAAACAGGAGAGAGGTCATCCACAGTCAAGGCATTTTCTTACAATTTTAATAACTGTCTCCCTCCATCTTTGTGTTCTCTTCTTTTCTGTTGTCGATCCAAGGATCTCAGAAGCCATCAAGAGCTCCAAGGGACTGTATGGTTCTACAGGGCAGATTCTAGTGGAGAATTTCCCCTCCCTTTTTATGACCCTGTAATCCCTTAATTTGGGGCTAGAGTGGGGGCGACTGGATGGAGCTGAGCATTTACTGGCCGGATGCCCTTCCTGACACCACTCGGAGTTAGCAGCAAATAATTTTTCTTTGCACTCTAGAAGAGAAACATCTGCTGCTACCTAGGTTTGAACTCTCAACCTTCTGAGTGGGAGGCAAGCGCCTTCACCGCTAAGCCACCACACCACTCTTAGCAGAGAATATCCACTTGGATACTATTCTTTTGCACTCAAGTAGAACAGAAAAAAAATACTGCAATTACTTTCTAATTTTTCCCCCAACCTTTCAAATGGAAGAGATTTACAAATAGGATAAGGGAAACTGTTTAGTTTTATTCACTCTGCTCTTCCTTGGGGGCAAGGAAAGTCATGTTCTGCTTCATGGAGGAACATCATACACATCTCTTCCCTGAACAAGTTACAAAGAAAGAATGGTCTTTGTGCTGCCTACTCTTCTGTTGTCTTACATTCAGAGGTAATATTCAGCTGGTTCAGACCAGTTAGCTTAAACTGGTAGCAGATATCGCTGTGCCCCCCCCCTCTGCCCCAGCTCTATGCCATCCTATTTATTTATTTATTTATTTATTTTATATCCAATTTATATATCGCCCTTCTCCCTGAGGACTCAGGGTGGTGTACAGCCAAATAAAAACATAAATTACAAATATTAAAATAGTATTAAAAGGATCTCACCCAGCGGCTTCACATAAATGTTGAACAGAAGGGGCGGGAGAACCGACCCCTGAGGCACTCCACATATGAGAGGCCTCGAGGTCGACTTCTGCCCCCCTGCCAACACAAACTGCGACCGGTCGGAGAGAAAGAAGGAGAACCACCGTAGCACGGTGCCCCCCATCCCCAACTCTTCCAACCGGTGCAGCATGATACCATGGTCGATGGTATCAAAAGCCGCTGAGAGGTCTAACAAGGCCAGAACAGAGGAGCAACCTCTGTCCCGAGCCCTCCAGAGATCATCTACCAACACGACCAATGCCATTTCCGTGCTGTGCCCAGGCCTGAAATTTAGGCATGTTTCTGAGGCTGAGCGCATGCACGGAGGCACACATGTGAGCAAAGCACATGCGCCAAAGGCCTGGCACATGTGCAGAAAGCAGGCACATGCACAAACCGGGTGCGGGCACGAAGCGAGTATGCGCGAGGTGAACCAGTAGTAACATAATCTGAAACCCACTGCTGCTTACATTCCTAGGTTGGCTCTGAATGGACGTCTCCGACTGATCCCTGCGTCATCAACAAATGTGTCCGTGTGAATGAGGAGGTCTTTATCCAGACTAGGAATGTCTCGTGCCAACCGAGGGAGCCAATCAGTTGCCCATTTGCCACAGAGATGCGCTGTGACCAGAGATCCCGATGCTGCCCTTCCTGTCGCTGTGGTAAGGACTGGTCCATTCAGAAGAAGACATGGCTTCTTACACCATCTTGAGAAGTTTGCAATCCAATTTAAATGTGGAACATTAGACAGGACCCCTAGAGAAGAAGACATTCCAGTGTTTGTGAGACAGGTTGGGAGAAGTCAGAATTTATTTGCGCTGCCGTAGGATATTGCAGTGGCAGGCGGTCCTTAAGGAAATCTGGCTTCTCCCATTCACTTTGCTTGCTGAAAGCCAGATGGGAGGGTTGCAAGTAGCTAGGGGACTAGAGGTGACATGATGGCAGTCTTCCAATATTTGAGGGGCTGCCACAAAGAAGAGGGGACAATGTATTTTCCAAAGCCCCAGAAGGCAAGGCAAGAAACCATGGATGAAAACTAATCAAGGAGAGATCCAATCCAGAACTAAGGAGAAAATTTCCTGACAGTTAGAACAATTAATCAGGTGAACAACTTTCCTCCAGAAGTTGTGAATGCTCCCACACTGGAAGTTTTTAAGAAAAGATTAGATAACCATTTGTCTGAAATACTGTACGGTTTCCTACTTGAGCAGGGGGTTGGACTAGAAGTTTAGTTTAGTTTAGTTTATTGGATTTATATACCGCCCTACTCCCGAAGGACTCAGGGCGGTGAACAGCCACAAGATAAAAACACATAAATACAAAATTTAAAAACAGAATAAAACCGAATTAAACAATTTGGCCGAAGACAGATTTAAAACATCCCAATAAAATAAAAACGAATTAAAATTTGTGTTTTAAAAAAGAAAAAAGGGAAAAATTAGGCCAGGCCAGCCTGATGGAATAAAAAGGTCTTGAGAGCGCGGCGGAAGGTGCGTAGATCTGGGATCCTCCGTATCTCCGGGGGGAGCTCATTCCAGATAGTAGGTGCCCCCACAGAGAAGGCTCTCCCCTGGGGGCCGCCAGTCGACATTGTTTGGCCGACGGCACCCGGAGGAGCGTACCTGGTTGGTGGGAAGATACTGGTGGCAGCAGGCGGTCCTGTAGATAACCAGGTCCTAAGCCATGGAGTGCTCTAAAGGTGGTAACCAAGACCTTGAAGCGCACACGGAAGACCACCGGGAGCCAGTGCAGCTCGCGCAGGAGAGGTGTTACATGGGAACGCCATGTCGCTCCCATAACCACCCGCGCGGCCGCACTCTGTGCCAGCTGGAGCCTCAGGGTGCTCCTCAAGGGGAGCCCCATGTAGAGAGCGCTGCAGTAGTCCAGGCGGGAAGTGACGAGGGCATGAGTGACCGTGTGTAAAAAGTCCCGATCCAGAAAGGGACGCAACTGGCGAATCAGGCGAACCTGATGAAAAATCCTCCTGGTCAGATCTTCAGGTCCCTTCCAACTATTATTATTATTATTATTATTATTATTATTATTATTATTATTATTATTTAATTAAAAAATGGAGTTGAGATTTTCACTGTCCTGTGGAAGATTCAGATGCTAATAAATGCAACTTCTCTCTTGCAGAACCTGTGAATGGCTGTATCTTGAATGGAACTATTCTTGCGGTAAGATTCCAGCTGATCACCTGTTTCGATTATATTATATTTATTTATTTATCAGGCTTGTATGTTTCCCATCTTGCCAAGTGTGACTCTAGGCGGTTTACAATCACGGAATGAAATGTAGTATAAAACATAAAACAATAAATAAAGATCTTAAATTTAAAATTCAATTCGGATAAAACTAAGCAGGGTAGAGAGGGAGGGAGAACAGTGTGTGAAGGAGTCCCAAAGGTGTTTTTTCAAAAGGCAACTGGACTTTCAAGGACAAAAACCAAGGAAGTCCAGCTGCCTTCTGGAAAAAAACACCTTTAGGACATCCTCTTCCAAGGTAAAATGCTCCTCTCTTGTGTTTTGGATGCGATACTAAACGAACAACAGATAGATGCAACATTTTCTTCTGCTATCCCCAGAATAAAGTAAGTGGCTGAAATCATTTGAAGGTCATTCTCTCCGGCCCATTGCTTAAAGAAGGATTTGGCCCGTTCAAAACCTATTGCGATCAGTGCCTTAGGTGAAATTCACAATTCTTTTGGGTGCATGAAAGTGATTTCTGCCAAGAAGATTGGTGTTTAACCTGGGGAAATCAGAGCAGGAAAACTACTTGAGTAAAAAATTAATTTGAGCCAATAGCTAAGACATGACATCTACAATCTAGTGCAGGGATATCAAACTCAAGGCCCACAGGCTGGAGGCGGCCCGTGGCCTGCTTAAATCTGGCCCATGGGGCTGGCCCAGAAATATCAAAGGACCGGCCCATGGTGCCTCTGCCGGACAAAACAGGCCACCATGCACTTGTGTGCAGCTCCCACGCGGCCCATTTTTGGCCTCCTCGGCCTCCAGCAGCACTCTGCCAGTGAAAACTGGGCCATGTGGCGGCCCGGCCTCCACACGGCCCATTTTTGGCCAGCAGAGTGCCATGACCATGCCCCCCCTGCCCCCCTCCCTGCCCCCCCCCCCAGACACACACACACACCGGCCCTCCAAGGTCAAACACAACCCTGATGCGACCCTCAATGAAATCGAGTTTGATACCCCTGGTCTAGTGGTTCTTCTAATGCTACCGAATATGATTTCCAGCAGCCAGATGTTAGGATCTGTAATTCAGCAATGCTGTCAGGACAACTTTCCTCTAGAAGTTATGGGTGCTCCATCACTGGAAGTTTTTAAGAGGAGAATGGACAGCCACTTCTTTGGAATGGTATAGAGTTTCTTGCCTGAGCAGGGAGTTGGACTAGAAGACCTCCAAGGTCCCTTCCTGTGAGGGATCTCACAATGGTTCGTTGAGGGCGCTTCCAAGAAAAGGCAGCACGCAAGGATGCAATCAAGTTAAATCTTTATTTAGAAATAAAGTAGGTAAAATGAGTTCCCTGGCATGGAGGCATCCATGCCTGGATTGAGCCCATGGATCAGTCCCGTAGGAAGTTAGAACAAGAGCCAAAGAGCAGCCCCTGTGCAGGGGTTCTTATAGGGGCCCCTGGCCCCTCCCTTACCAATGTGTGTGAGGGGGCCGGAGCAGGGGTGGGTTCTAAATTTTTTTACTACCGGTTCTGTGGGCGTGGTTTATTTTGTGGGTGTGGCTTGGAGGTCATGTGACTAGGTGGGCATGGCTAGCTGGTCAGTGTCATTTCTGGAAGGTCCTCGCACTTACGACCAGTCCTCGCACTTACGACCCAACTCATTTGTTTGCTTTTAACACTGATCAGCTGTAGGACGGCCCTTTGAAGCCCCGCAGCAAGAGTTTAAACAGTTTTTTTCCCTCTAGTCATCAGCTGGGACTCAGGAGGCAGCAATAGATTGGGGGTGGGACCAAATAAAAGGTTAAAAATAACGTGGGAGGGGGGAGAACCGGTTCGGTGACATCATATTGTCACCGCTACCGGCTCGGCCGAACCGGACTGAACTGGGAGGAACCCACCACTGGGCCAGAGGGCCATTAACTCTCCCCAATGGGGCTGCAGGGGCCAGAGCCCCTTGACCCACCAGTGGGATCAAAAGTCCCTCTTTGCTCCCATCTGGTGCCCTTTTAAGAAATTGCCATTGCTGGCACAAAACATCTAACATTTCCAACTCTGTTATTCTGTTATTTTGGCTGTAGTCTCCTCCTCCTCCTTCTGTGGACCACAATCTAGGATTTCAGCCGGAACTTGGCGAACCCAGGAATTGAACCTAGAAGCTTCTGCTCTAGGACAGATCAATAGCTGGCTGAGCAATGCGCTCTCGTTATTCTCCTCTTCCCATAGAATTGTCCGCATTTAACTTTGCAAGAAATGGTGCGGTGGGGGATAAACGGTCCAATCTCGGTGTTTCTCATGATAGGAACAACCATCTAAGGTAGCAAAACGTGTTCTCCTTTTTTTCAGCCGGGGAAACGCATGATGCTGGATGAGTGCACCACTTGCCAATGTAACACACAGCAGGGACTGTACCTGACATACAAATTGATGTGTGGGAAAATTACTTGTGAACGGTGCCCCAAGGTAAGAGGGAACTTCATGCTCCAAGGAGCTTTCTTGAATTTGAAGGTTCTGATTTCTTCCAAATTCCAAAGCCACTGCATCTTTTTTTTCATTTTAAAATAAAATGAGCATGAATGTCCCTTTGTAATGTCCTTGATTAGGTCATGCTGATGAAAAGAAATCAAAGCTTTTAATTTGATAGTGCCATTAATTAAGTTAGTTTTGTCACAGACCTTTATTTTTCCTGGTTTCTGAATAAACATAGTATATTGCAGCTGGAAGCTGCAAATTAAAACTATTTTAGGTTTTTAAAAAAAGAACAAGAAGAAAAACGATAAAAGCTCTCCGTGTTTGGGCTGTTTACTTTTCAGATCTCATGGAACTTTGCCACGTAATCCTGCATTTATTCCATTCCTGGGTTAATCTGAGAGAACAGGTCTCAGTGAGATTTAAAACTGGATCTCCCCAATGCTCTTAGCACTACACCACACTGTCTTTTCCACGTTGGGTAGCCACTTTTTGATTTTTGACTTGATCCTCTTTGTTGTTAAGGGGCATGGTAGCCTAGTGGTTAAGACCCTGGGCTTGTCAACTGAAAAATTGGCAATTCTCTTACATACCCTGTTTCCCCAAAAATAAGACATCCTCTGATAATAAGCCTAATCGGGCTTTTGAGCGCATGTGCTAAAATAAGCCCCCCCTGAAAATAAGCCCTCCCTGAAAATATTAAAGCACATGTGCAGCTGGTCCCCGTCATTTCCTCTGGTTAGGGTTAGGGAAACAGAGCTGAAAATCAGGTAAGATGGCAAGAGGAGCCCCATCTTGCTCCACGCACCCCAAAATAATAAGACCTCCCCGAAAATAAGGCCAAGCGCTAATTTTGGGGTTCAAAAAAATATAAGACAGGGTCTTATTTTCCAGGAAACATGGTATTTTTATTTATTAGTTTATAATATAAAAGACAAAAAGTACAAAAAAATAGGGAGGAAAATAAGGGAGGAAAAGGGGAAGGGGAGAAAAAGGAAAAGAGAAAAGAGAAAAAAGCAACAGAAGCCATTGACTTCCAACTCCCTTTGGTGCAGCAGAATAAGATAATAGCATCAAACCTCGACTTTTAACTTTTACATAATAATATAAACTAGCCATTTCTCTAACAACAAACCTATTAATTGGCAAAACCCAAAATCAAACTTTCATTTTTTTTCCCCACCTCAAGCAGAAGCGGTTTCCAAGTAGAAACAAAAGTAATTATATATTTTTTTTCTTTGACCAAAGCAGTCAATTTGGCCACCTCTGCTAAACTGAAAGGTTGGCGGTTCGAGACCCAAGCACCACAGGGTGGGATGAGCTCCCGTTCCTTGCCTCAGCTTCTGCCAACCTAGCCATTCAAAACTGGCAAATGCGAGTAGATAAATAGGTACCACTTTGGTGGGAAGGTAACATTATTCTATGTGCCTTGCTGTACAGTCATTCTAGCCACATTTGGACAATGGTGGCTCCCTCAGCTAGGAAACGGAGATGAACACTACCAGTGGTGGGATTCAAATAATTTAACAACTGGTTCTCTGCCCTAATGACCAGCTGGGTGGGTGTGGCCATGGTGGGTGTGGTCAGAGGTGTGACAGGAAGCACTCGGCCTCCTGAACCCCCCTGGGAGCAACAATGGGCTGTGGGGGGGCACCGCTCTCCTGCGCCCCGTTTTGGACCTAGTAGGCCTCCCTGAAGCCTCCTGGGAGCAAAAACAGGCTGCCGGGGGCCATGCCACACCCTTTCATGCCCTGTTTTGGGCCTAGTAGGCCTTCCTGAAGCCTCCTGGGAGTGCAAATGGGCCGTGGGGGCCCTCACCCACCCGTGTGCCCCATTTTGGGCCTCCTGCACTTACCTGGGAGCCAAAATGGGACACGTGGGGACTCCTGGAAGGGACAGGGAGGAGAGGGGTGGTGCCAGCCAGCAATTTAACTACCGGTTCGCCAGAACCGGCCCAAACCGGCTGAAACCCATCACTGACACTACCCCGTAGAGTTAGACATGAGTGGACGAGGAAATCTTTACCTTTATTTTTCTGTTTTGTTATTGTAACATCTCAGAAGCAGTTATTAAGGGATGCAGTTGTGTGCGAGTAAAGTTCCTACGAATCAAACACTCCTCACTTCCTAAATCCAAATCTCTGGATGAAAAGAGAAGAAGGACAAAGGGATAAAACCTTGCTCTCCTCCAACAGCTTATTACATGTTTATAGAGGACAGCAAAAAAAATTAGGGCTAATTTTTCATGCCATCATTGCAAAAGTGTTTTGGCAGAGAAGATCCTACACTGATTATTATCTGCAACAACTAGTTGTCAAGAAAGAGGATGTGGGATGTCTTCAGTTGGGATCAGATGTCCTCATGGGAGATGTGCCATTGACGTGAAACTCTGCCACTCTCCTTAAGGACCTGTGGGCTGAGTGGCAGATTGCATGAGGGGAAACCTGGCTCGGAGAAAGAGACAGTAATTATATTTAATGCCTCAGCTTTACTTTTCAAAGCAAACTTAACTCCTCCGTATTTCCCTAACATGAATACGAGAATATTGTTGTCTGTTGATAGTCACATATATGTATATATGAATGTTCATTCGGAAAGATCTGCAATGCAGTACCGAACAAGAAGAAAGCTGATATCATTATCCGTCGATAGTCTGTTTTTTCTCTCAAATTTTGCAATGTGTAATATTCAAGGAAAAGGGATGCGGTGGCTCAGTGGCTGAGCTTGTTAATCGAAAGGTCGGCAGTTCAGCGGTTCGAATCCCTAGTGCTGCATAATGGGATGAGCTCCTGTTACTTGTCCCAGCTTCTGCCAACCTAGCAGTTCGAAAGCACATTAAAAAAAATGCAAGTAGAAAAATAGGGACCACCTTTGGTGGGAAGGTAACAGCTCTCTGTGCGCCTTTGGCATTTAGTCATGCAGGCCACATGACCACGGAGATGCCTTTGGACAGCGCTGGCTCTTCGGCTTTGAAACGGAGATGAGCACCGCCCCCTAGAGTTGGGAACGACTAGCACATATGTGTGAGGGGAACCTTTACCTTTAATATTAAAGGAAAATGCAAGCAAGATGCCTATAACGATGAAACTGCGGTAAACAAAACCTAGGAATTTTATATATATATGTCTTTTTTCCTTTTTCGTAGGCTTTTATGTGCATATTCTTTCTAGCCAGGTTTTACCTACGTAAACTAAGTTGTTCTACAGCCCTGGTTCTGTGAAATCTCATTCACAAGTTTCTGGGCCTTTTTTCTGCTGACAAACTGCAACTCTGTGTTGCTCTCTGGGAGAGCATATATATATGAATATTCATATATATATGAATATTCATTTGGAATGATCTGCAAAACAATACAGAACAAGAAGAAAGCTGAAGGAGAATGAGATCCCCTATTTGAGCAGGGGGTTGGACTAGAAGACCTCCAAGGTCCCTTCCAACTCTGTATATTCTGAGGTTAAATGCAAAGTGTTTATCAATGCTTAAAAATTCACTTTGGGCGTTATCCTTGGGTTTGCAGAATTACCGGATGGAGAAAACCTCTGGTTCCTGCTGTGGGAAATGTTTGCCAACTCGGTGTGACATACAACTAAGGGATGGAACCATTTTATATCTGAAGGTCAGTAGTTTTAACATTTATTTTCTAATTTATATATATTCACCCTGCGGTTTATCTCCCTCCTCAACAATCCTGCAAAGACACTTCTCACCATCTTCTCAACAGTCTTCAAAATATTTGCCATTGATAAAAAAACAAGGCTCCTCAAGGGGATTTTTCCTCAAGGTAAAAGGAAAATAAACTACAGGTAGTCCTTGACTTACAACCTTTCATTTAGTGACTGTTCGAAGTTACAATGGCACTGAAAGAAGTAATTTATGATCATTTTTCACACGACCATTGTAGCACCACCTGGTCACATGATTAAAATTTGGACACTTGGCAACCTAAATTGACACTTAAAGCCTGAAACTTAATGTAGAATGTGTAACTCCGTAGCATCAGCGCGTGTTAATATAAGGCAACTGGCAGTTGGGACAGAGTTCCTTTCAGGTGGGGAGGGGGAGTAGAACATCTAACTCCTTAGCATCAGAACGTGTGAATATAATACTATATATGAAATACTAATGATCTGATGGTCACTTTGGAAAATCCTTTCTTAGCGAGCACCTAGAAGCCAAGAGGAACATACGTGCCAAATTTCAAGTTTGTAGGCTTTACCGTTCTGGAGATTTCATGATGAATGAGTGGTATTTGGCTTTTATATAGATTTTATAATATATATAGATTTATATAGATTTTATATAGATTATATAAACTATTAAAGCCATTTCTATAACAACAGATCTATCGAATCAGTAAAACCCAAAATTGAATTTTTCCCCCCACCTCAAGCACAAAGTCCAGAAGCGTTTCCAAGTAGAAACAAAAATACTTGGTTTTTTTTTCTTTGACCATACCAGTCAATTTAGTCATCTCTGTTAACTCCATCTGCTTTTGCAACCTTTCATTCATTGTGGGGACTGAAGTCTCCTTCCATTTTCGTGCATAAAATAGTCAACATATTAGCGAATCTTTGCTGGTTCCTAAACTTCACACAGAACAGCGTTTCCACAGCCTCTTCCCCCGAGGCCTTGCCTCAGACGGAAAAAAGTAAATTTCCTCTTGAGATCCTCCAGGGAGAGGGTGCACCTAGTATTTTTTTTTCCTAGACAAATATGTAGAAGAAATTGGAAAAAAAAACAGAGTTGTTTTTCTACTTTTGTGCAAAGGAGAATGCAACCTAGAAAGAGAAGGAGTAATAGTCCTTCATATTCATGTCAACTGTCTGAGGCCCTTGGATCAAGGTGTTGAGGAGATAAATGATGGACCAGATCATAAAAAGAAGGCACACTTTTGCGATAATAGAAAAACATAGTTTTGGGTTTTTTTCTTCTATTTTATGAGAGCGATATGTGACCTCATGAGTGTCTTTTGTGATGGCCACAGCTGGAATCTTGTGAAATGACTAAAACGTACGAGAGATGCTGACATTTTCGCACTATACTTTATGGTGCAATAATTCACTCCTCTGGAGATTTCAGCTACTCTTTTAATTTTTATTTTACCGTGAGGGAAAAGAAGCGTCTGAAATGGACGGAAAAAAAATTCTCCACTCTAAGCCATCAGGCATGATGGCCCAGATGGTTGACCTAGAGGTGAAGGCCATGGGAAGGAAACATTTTCAAGAGAGTCTGATTTAATTAGCTGGCTCTTAAGTCTGCCTGGGAACTTTTATAGATTTCAAGATTATGCTTTTACTCCCAACTGGCATTAAAGATGCTTTCCTGAAACCCACTTTGTTCTTGCTCTTTGTACGTGCCATCTCTATGGGGCTGGACAGCATCGCCCGAACAAAATGCAAAGGTACAGTCGTATGTGTGAATGCTACAGCACTGGAAGTTTTTAAGAAGATGTTGGATAACCATTTGTCTGAAGTGGTGTAGGTGTAGCTCTTCGGCTGAAAAAATGCTTTTAAAAGTTTTTTTAAAAAAAGCTTCTGATGATTGCGTGGCTCAGCTGGGATCGTCAGAGGCTTTTCAAAGCATTTTTTCTACAACCTCTTGTAGAAACAATGCTTTTAAAAGTAAAAAAAAAAAAAGTTAGCCACGCCCACCCAGTCACATTAGCCCCCCACCAAGCCACGCCCACAGAACCGGTAGTAACAAATTTTACATTTCACCACTGGACCACGTGCACCCCCCGTGACCCATTTTTGGCCTCCACAGCCTCCTGCAGCACTTTGCAGGCCGAAAATGGGCCACGAGGGGCCTTGTGCGGCCTCCCACAGCCCATTTTTGGCCGGAAGAGTGCTTCAGGAAGCCATGGAGGTCAAAAACGAGTCCAAGGGGGGCCTTACGTGGTCCCCTCAAGTCCCATTTTGGCCAGCAAAGTAGTGCAGGAGGCATCTGTCTCGTCTCCCCCCCTCCCTGCCCCTCCCGCCAGCTCGCGGAGGAGAACTGCAATGCTGATCTGGCCCTTAAAGAAATCCAGTTTGACACCCCCTGCTCTGGCTTATTACCACCTCACTATAACAAAAAAATAAACTAAAAAATGGATTTTTTTTTTTACAGCCGAACGAAACAATCCAAGATGGGTGCGACAATCATTTTTGCAAGGTGAACCAGAAAGGAGATTTTATTTGGGAGAGGAAGATCACCGGTTGCCCTCCATTTGATTCCAAGAAATGCTTAGCTGAAGGAGTAAGTATGGAATCCACCTCTTCTTGGATGCTTTTTAAAATGGTATTTGTTGTAGCGGTGTGTACAATTTGTGCTTTACGAAGCATCATAAATGAAAGAGTCCCAAAGATGCTTTTTCAGGAGGCAACTGGACTTCCTTATTTTTTTCTTTTGAAGACGTTTCGCTTCTCATCCAAGAAGCTTCTTCAGCTCTGACTGGATGATGTGGAATGGAAGGATTTATATTCCTTGCAGACAGCTGGTCATTTGCATCCTTTTAGAGGGTCGTTGAAGTACTTGGAGGTTTATCTGTGTCCTTAAAGTCACCTGAGTAGTGCAAATGGTTCCTGGAGTCTGCAATTTTTTTTCCCTCTGGAAATCCATTCCTATTCCCACACCATTCAAAGTGGGGATTTCAAAGAATCTCTACAGGCGTTTACAATTTGAACATCCTTGTAGCAGATGATTTTGTGTACTACGTTTAGGTCAGACCGAAGACAGCGAAGTTCTAAGTTGTCTGAGCCTAAAATTTCAAGCCTGGTGGCATAAAGTATTTTGTTTTGAGCAGAGGAATGGAGGACTCTTCTCGTGAAATATCTTTGGACTCGCTCAATTGTATTAATGTCTGATATGCAGTGCGGGTTCCAGACAGATGAGCTGTATTCGAGAATTGGTCTAGCAAAGGTTTTGTATGCCCTGGTTAGCAATACAATATTACCGGAGAAGAAGCTACGCAAGATTAGGTTAACAACTCTTAATGCCTTTTTCAGCAATGGTGTTACAGTGAGTTTTGGCACTTAGATTTTATATTTGTCTTAAATGACGTGTGGCTTCTTCTTCTTCTCTAGGGTAAAGTGACGAAACTTGGCAATACCTGCTGCGAAACATGTAAGTACCAAAAACTGCTTACCTAATCTCCTATTTCTGAACAGGTATGGGGCTGCAATATGAAAAGAGACTAGCGGTGGGTTTCAAATTTTTTTACTACTGGTTCTGTGGGTGTGGCTTAGTGGGCGTGGCATGGCTTGCTGGGCGTGGCTTGGTGGGTGTGGCAGGGGAAGGATACTGTAAAAACTCCATTCCCTCCCCACTCCAGGGAAAGGTTACTACAAAATCCCCATTTCCTCCCAATCAGCTGGGACTCAGGAGGGAGATAATTGATGGGGGCGGGGTAAGCCAGAGGTGGTATTTACCAGTTCTCCAAACTACTCAAAATTTCCACTGCCAGTACTCCAGAACTGGTCAGAACCTGCTGAATACCACCTGTGTTGTAAAGGGACGTGTGAAAATCATGTTACTGGATCATGTCTGTGCATCCCTAGCCACGAGGATGCCAGAAAGACAAAATGTTTGTCGTAATGGCATAATGCAATCTTTGGCCTTTTGAATTTAAGACCGTCACCTACAAACACGTAAGGAATAGAGTTTACGTCATGACGCATCATGTGCCACTTATTTCTTCTTTAGATGTCAATAGAATAGAATAGAATAGAATAGAATAGAATAGAATAGAATAGAATAGAATAGAATAGAATAGAATAGAATAGAATAGAATAGAATAGAATAGAATTCTTTATTGGCCAAGTGTGATTGGACACACAAGGAATTTGTCTTTGGTGCATACGCTCTCAGTGTACATAAAAAGACAAGATACATTCGTCAAGAATCATAAGGTACAACACTTAATGATAGTCATAGGGTACAAATAAGCAATCGAATCATATTAGCAACCAGTCAATATAAATCGTAAGGATACAAGCAACAAAGTTACAGTCATACAGTCATTAGTGGAAGGAGATGGGTGATGGCAACGATGAGAAGATTAATAGTAGTGCAGACTTATACCAGTAACCCAGGGAGTTGGTGGTTATACATTTGTCAGATGCGTTGTTATTGGAGGCTGGGCAACCACGCTGTCAACATCATGACATCCATCTTGATGTCTACCAACCAAGAAGAGGGTTTTTTTTGGGTTCCAGCAATGAATTGAGCTCTGGGTACAGAGGTCTTAATCATTCCCTTCTAGTTCTCGTAGGGTGTCCTTATACCTAGCAGTTATTTATTTATTTATTATTTTTATGTATTCCGTTTGTCAAACATGTACGAGATAACAGGAATAAGTATAAACATGATATGAACACAGGAAATGGGTATGAATAAATGGGGGTAGTAGGACAGGGATGGAAAGCATGCTGGTACGCTTATGCCCGGCCCTTACAGACCTCTTAGGAATGGGGTGAGGTCAACAGTAGACAGTCTAAGGTTAAAGTTAGGGAGGGTTGAGGATGTAACAACAGGTAGAGCATTCCAGGCATCGACCACTCTGTTGCTGAATTCATATTTTCTGCAATCAAGTTTGGAGCGGTTTACCTTGAGTTTGTATCTATTGTGTGCTCGTGTATTATTGAGGTTGAAGCTGAAGTAGTCACTGACAGGTAGTACGTTGTAGCGGATAATTTTGTGTACTACGCTTAGGTCGGAGCATAGGTGGCGTAGTTCTAAGTTGTCCAAGCCCAAAATTTCAAGCCTGGTGGCATAAGGGATTCTATTGTGAGCAGAGGAGTGGAGGACTCTTCTCGTGAAATATCTCTGGACTCGCTCAATTGTGTTAATCGATATGCAGTGTGGATTCCGGGCAAATGAGCTGTATTCGAGAACTGGTCTAGCAAAGGTTTTGAATGCCCTAGTTTGCAGTACAATGTTTCTAGAGAAGGAACCTTTATATGTGGTTACATCTTCTGAAATCAAATGTACCTAATTAGAAATTAATAAATCAAGCTACCAAAGCATCTGTGTATCCAGAGTCGACACCCACACTGGATGTTTCTTGCTGCTTCTCTGACTGAGGCATTTCCTTTTTCATGTCGGGTCCTTGGTGCTCTATGAGCTTGTTGGTATTCTTGTAGACGTTTCATTATCAAACTAGGTAACATTATCAGTGCTGCTGATGTTACCTATTTTGGTAATGATAATAGTACCTAGTTTGGTAATGAAATGTCTCCCAAGAAAACCAACAAGCTCCTAGGACCTCATAGTTCAACCCTGAGCTACAGATATTCTCTTCTGTTGTTACTTTTTCCTCTCTGCTTCTAGTTGGGCTGGGCAATTCAACTCAGCAGACTCTCTGCAGAGACTAACCTGGTCATGCTGGACATTTACATCATCGATATGGACGCCTTTCGTCAGCAGGAGCCTTGGCAAGGTTTCTGTTCTCAGTCAATGGTTTGCTCCAGGTAGACTTGGTAGTTGCAAGACAAGGGAGTCAAAAAGTTTCTCCCTCACAGCAGGCTAACAAGTCCATCCAGCTGGGAGACGAATAGTTGTCTGTCACATCTATTCATTTCCACCCCCTGCCTTTTATCCCCAGAACTAGGGTGGGGCTTCCATCCCAAGGACCAGCCCACGGATTTCTTTTTTTTTATTGAAAAAGTTTTACAAATACAAATTTTCCCTTCTCCTTCCAAACCCTCCCTAGCCCTCCCCTCCTCCCATGACTTCCCCAGGGTGAAATCCAAATCCAATTCATTTTATATCATATCATACTTTACTGCCCTTCTATTCTCCCCCCATGTACTATACATTTCTACATAACATTAAACTATTCTACCCCCTATATACTATACATTTCTACACAACATTCAACTAAAAGCTATCTGGTACTTCCTAGTTTGATATTTATTCTGCACATAATCTATCCATTTCTTCCACTCCCATACATAAGTCTCTTGAGTCCGGTCTTTTAAGTATGCTGATATCTTCGCCATTTCTGCAAAACTGGCCATCTTCAAAGTCCATTCTTGAATTGTAGGCATATCATCCCTTTTCCAATATTGACCAATCAGTAACCTAGCTGCTGTCACCATATACAATATCAACTTTGTTTCACCCACTGAAAAACCCTTAACTATGCCCAATAAAAACAGTCGAGGAGAAAATTGGAGTTTTTTCTTGAGAACATTTTGCATAACCCACCAGATTTTTATCCAGAATCAGCCCACGGATTTCCACTGCTCTCCTCTCCTCTGCCTTCTGCGCATCCGTGCATCAAGTACTGGACCCAGCTCTTCCTCTTCTTCTTCATCAGCCACCTACAGACCTGGGGGCTGTTGACTCTCCATCTGAGGGTTGATGGATGGCCTGTGCTCCATCTCTGTCTCTCTCTCTCTCTGCCGGCTCCAGGGGTGGGTTCTACTTACCTTTAACACCAGTTCCCAACGGGATCGCCCACGCGCGCCTTGCTTCTGCGCATGCGCAGATCGCTGATGACGATATCCGGGGCGGTGGGCGGGGCCCCCCACCAGTTTTACTACTGGTTCTTGTGAACTGGTCCGAACCGAGGACAACCCACCACTGGCCAGCTCCATTCCCTCTTCCCCCTTGGAACTCTCAGGTTGCCTTGATGCTGATCCTGACTCACACGCCTCCTCCTCCTCTTCTGATTCAGCTGCTGGAGGGCCCAGCAGCTGAAGGGCCACAACACTTGGTACTTGCAGGACCACCTCCTACCGGCCCCCCACCGCCCAGTGCGGTCACATAGGACTGCCCTCCTCCGGGTGCCATCGGCCAGACAATGTCGGCTGGTGGCCCCCAGGATGAGGGTGTTCTCAGTGGCCGCACCAACCCTCTGGAATGAATTACCCACCGGGCTTCGGACAGCCCCCGACCTCTGCGCTTTCCGCACTGAACTGAAGACATGGCTTTTTCAGCAAATTCCCTGATCTGTTATGAGATTTTAGTTATTGGGATTTTTACATTTGGATGTTTTTAGTTTTATTTATTGTTATATGTTTTTTATTCTGTGAGCCATCCCGAGTCCTACGGGAGAAGGGCGGCATAGAAATCTAAGAAATAAATAAATAAATAAATAAATAAATAAATAAATAAATAAACAAACAAACAAACAAACAAACAAACAAACAAACAAAAGGCATCTCAACTGTCAGAAATCTGGGAAATGTCTTAAAAGAGATTTTCTTCCGTATACTCTTTTTTTTTTTTTTTAATTTGATTTATATGCTGCCCTTCTCCGGAGACTCAGGGCGGCTTACAATGCATTAAGCAATAGCCTTCATCCTTTTGAATATATTTATACAAAGTCAGCTTATTGCCCCCACAACTGGGTCCTCAATTTACCTACCTTAGAAAGGATGGAAGGCTGAGTCAAGCCTGAGCCTGGCGAGATTCGAACCTGCAGTAATTGCAGGCAGCTGATCTTAATAACAGGGTGCTTTAGACCACTGTACTACCAAGGCTACATTCTTTCCTCCATCAGCCTCAGAGCTAGATTTTCAGTGAACCTAAATAAAAGTTTGGGTTGCCAAATTGTACGGCGGGTAATTACGGAATTTGTTTAGCAAGGACTGAAAACAGTCCCTTGTGACAAGGTCAAAATGTCAAGCAGCTCTTTGCCCTCCGTTCTGCCTCTCTCTTGTCCCTCCTTTTGTTCGGTTCATCTGTCAATAAATAAAATATGGTCTGCCCAGGAGGCATCCCGACCTTGGCCCAGTAATTGCTGTAACCAAACCCAAGTCAACTCCAAGATAATTCTTGTGGTTGCTTGCCCAGATATTATCGCATTCCAGCTCGTCTCAAACATTTGAGTTAACCGATCACCGTTGAGTGATGCTCTCCGGTTAATTTAATTAACAAGGCTTTTTTTTAATCTTGGCTGCCAGAATTAAAGTATGAAGGTTCTTAAGGAAAGATGCTCAGGAAAACCTCTCTACCCAAAGCAGATGTGAAATGTAATATTCAAAGATCCAAGAAAAAAGTTTATGGACGCGAGAAAAATGCGACAGAAGAGAAAACAGCAAAACAAACGATTAAGAAGAACTACGCAGATCCTACGTTTGAAGGAGGCATGTTTGCCGGGAAGCAGTAGAGATTTCAAAGAATTTTCATTGTTTACACAAAATCTGCTCTGCTCACATATTTGTAAATGAGGTTTCATGTGATCCGGGAAAAAAACAATTAAGAGAAATGTCTACAGCTGCACAAATTGCTAAATCCATCGTTTCCCTTTTGCTATCTCATTTTCTGAGTGCCGTCAAAAACCTTTCATCCATTGTACTTGTAGCCCCATTTTGTAGTCGCTGGGGGTTTGTTGTCTGGGCCCATTTTTACCTCCACGGAGCTTCATTTATTTCTTCTGGGCTTGAATCATCTGGGCCACCACAAGCAATAAGATAAAATAAGACGAACAAATGAAACCTCCACTACCAGCAACTGGGCCAGCAGATCTGGATGTAAGAATCCAAAGAGCCACTTGATGGCAACAAAGAGTCACAGTTTCTAATTCTTTGCACCAGGATCTTATTCCCTTCTACTCCTCTGCTACCTCACAAATTTTCTCAGAGATAATGTAGGAGGATAGCAATAGCAATAGTACTTAGACTTATATAGAGCTTCATGGTGCTTTACAGTCCTCTCTAAACTGTTTACAGAGTCAGCCTATTGCCCCCAACAATCTGGATCCTCATTTTTCCAACCTCAGAAGGACCGAAGGCTGAGTCAACCTTGAGCCGGTCAGGATGGAACTCTTGGCTGTGGGCAGAATTATCTTTCAATGCTACATTCTAAGCACTGAGCTTGCATGGCTTAGAAAGCAATAGACTGTTTCACAGTGCTTTACAGCTCTCTCTAAGCAGTTTACAGAGTCAGCATCTTTCCCCCATCAATCTGGGTCCTCATTTTACCGACCTCGGAAGGATGGAAAGCTGAGTCAACCTTGAGCCCGTCAGGATCGAACTCCAGACTGTGGGCAGAGTCAGCCTGCAACACTCACTGTGCCACCAGGAAGAAGAATGAGAAAGGGATTAAGAGGAAGGGAGGGAGGGAGGGAGGGAGGGAGGAAGGAAGGAAGGAAGGAAGGAAGGAAAGAAGGCCAATAGCACTTAGACTTGCATACTGCTTCAAAGTGCTTCACAGCCCTCTCTAAGCGGTTTACAGAGTCAGCCTATTGCCATCAACAATCTGGGTCCTCATTTTACCAACCTCGGAAGGACTGAAGGCTGAGTCAACCTTGAGCCGATCAGGATCGAACTGCCGAGCTGCTGGCAATCGGCAAACAGGAGAATGAGCCTGCAATACAGCATTCTAACCACTGTGCCACCAAGGCTCTATGGATCCTGCCATATCTATTTACCCAGTTTTTTCAAGTCTATTCTTGCACTTTCCTTCATCCTCTGAAGGAGAAAATTCTGAACAGAACAAGCCAGGAAGTTTTGGAGCATTTTCTTGGCAGCGTTTCCCCGAAGTTGTTGGAATAAATGGTCCCACCTCACCAATATTTCCTGAAAGACTTGCAGTTTGCTTTTAGAAAGCATCACCCGCAATATCTCCTTAGTCAAATTAGACACCACCAACAATATTATTATTATTTGTTCCATTTGGTTTCTTTTACAACCCTTTTAAGTGCATACGTTTGGGTTTCTGAGCAGGACATTTTAAACATCTCGTGCAACTCCTCACTTTTGCTTGTCTCTGTTCTTGTCGAACAAATTGTTTCATTTAATTCCTGTACTGCAGTCTTGGGAGTTTTCCCACCTGGTGTCCATTATGTCTCCACTTATCAGTCATTCGGTGGTGGTTTCCATATTCTGAGCTTTAGTGTACCCAAGAGAGCTTTGAACTTTATCACCAGTATTGGATTTTAATTTTTTTGTTGAAAAGTCTTATGTCAACAACGCTTCCACTTTCTGCAGTTCGAAACTTTTTAAAAACCTTTTAAAAAAAAAAAATCTGAAGTCCTTCCAGTCTTCCACGTGATTTGATTCAGCACTCTCTTAGTCAAGCCTGCGTTGCTGGTCTTTGTTTGAAGCAACCCGTGTTCTGCTAGCAAGCCATCCCCTTGGAGGTTTCTAATCCAACCACCTGCTCAAACAGGAGACCCTATACCCATGATGGTGAACCTATAGCCATATCAGTGGGCATGCCAGCTTAGCTCTTGCACGCATGCATGCACTGGCCAGCTGATTTTCGGGCCTTCTGGGCCCACCAGAAGTAGGGAAACAGGCTGTTTCCTGCCTCTGGAGGGCCTGGGGGGTGGGGAAGGCCCGTTTTTCTTTCTCACCTGGCTCCAAATCCTCTCTATGCATCTGGGGAGGGTGAAAACAGCCTTCCCCATCCCCTTGGAGACCCTCCGGAGGCCTGAAACGGCCCATTTCCTGGTTGGACAGGAAGTGACATTTTTTGCTGTCCCCAGCCTCCAGAGAATCCTAGAGCTTACATATGGAAAGGAAACACTGAGCTTTTGTGTGGAGGTGAGATTTTCTATCTGGATGACCTTCAAGCAGACGACAACTGAAAGGAATATGGCGAATTGCGGCGTACATCTCTTCCTGATAACAAAAGCTATTTATCAGCTCTAAATTACCTCAGAGCAGAGGTGGTATTCAGCCAGTTCAGACCGGTTCCAGCGAACCGGTAGCGGCAACCTGCGGGTGAGCCCGCCCGCCCAACCACCCAGGCGCAATCCTATCTTATATTGCTGTGTTTTTGACACTGCATGGATGTGTGGATGGCATTCGCGATCGAGCGAATTGCCATGTTGTTTGACGTCGCACGCATGGTGGATGGGACACGCTCACATTTTCAGTGTTGGGCAAACCGGTTGCTACAGTATGTGAAGTCCACCTCTGCCTCAGACTAATATCAGGTATCATGGCTGAAAGAAGAACACAACATCCTTTCCTCTGTGTATAAGCAATTTTTAAAAGTTTAAAGGTGATGCATTAGTCGGGGGGTCCCAAATCCCCAGATTGTGGCCCACTATTAGGCCATGGTCTATTCTCAACCGGGCCCTTGCTTGTGTGGCCCTGTTCCCCTCTCCCCAACCCCCAGCCAGGCCACCTAGCTGTAAAATTTGGGGACCCCTACATTAGCAAGTTTGGGGACCCCTACATTAACTTGTCATCGTCATAATTCTTGAAGGAGTCGTGGTATTATTAAAATACTGTAAGCTAATTACTGCTGACTGATCATCCATGCACTGTTAAAAGGAATAGTTTATTGCTCTCCAGAAGTTCAAATCTCTACGTCTTTGTATAAGCAGTAGAAGCAGTGATGGGATTCAGCCGGTTCGCACCGCTTCGGGAGAACCGGTTGTTAACTTTTTGAACAGTTTGGTGAACTGGTTGTTGGAAGAAATTATTAGAGCAGAGAACCGGTTGTTCAATTATTTGAATCCCGTCGCCGAGTAGAAGCGTACACAACTAAAATTTCCTCTTGCATTTTAGGTGTCGAGCCAGAGTGCAGGCTAACCACAGGCAGGCTAGAATTTGTGAAAGTAGACAACTGTGTGAATGAAAACCAGCTGAATCTGCACTACTGCGAGGTAAGGTCTGCTGATCTGGAGCCTATGGAAGCAAAAGAGTTTCTTAGTAAATTGTTTACTAAATTTCTTAGTAAATCATGATTCAGACGAGTACCAAAACTATAGGTAATCCTCAATGTACGGCCACAATTGAGCCCGAAATTTCTGTCGCTGAGCAAGACAACCGAGTTTTGTCACATTTTATGACCTTTCTTGCCGCATGTGTTAAATGAATCGCTACGGTTGTTAAGTTAGTCACCCGGTTGTTAAATGAACTGGGCTTCCTCATTGACGGGAAATGTGAAAGGGGATCACCTGACCCTGGGACACTGCAACTGTCATAAATACAGGCTCGTTCCCAAGCTTCTGGATTTTGATCATGTGACCACAGGGATGCGTCAACAGTTGTAAATGTGAAAAACGATCATAGGTCACTTATTACATTGCTGTTGTTAACTACTACTATGTCTTCATCTTCTTCCTCCTCCTCTCCTCCTCCTCCTTCTCCTCCTTCTCCTTTCTCCTCCTCCTTCTCCTCCTCTCCTTTTCCTCCTCCTTCTCCTCCTCCTTCTCCCTCTCCCTCTCCCTCCTCCTCTTCTCCTTCTCCTTCTTCTTCTCCCTCTACCTCTTCCTCCTCCTCTCCTCTCCTCCTCCTTCCTCCTCCTGCTCTCCTCCTTCTCCTCCTCTTTCCTCCTCCTCCTTCTCCTCTCCTTCTCCCTCTCCCTCCTCTCTCCTCCTCCTCCTTCTCCTTTCTCCTCCTCCTCCTCCCTCTCCCTCTCTCCTCCTCTTCTCCTTCTCCTTCTTCTTCTCTCTCCCTCTTCCTCCTCCTCTTCTCCTTCTCCTTCTCCTCCTCTTCTTCTTCTTCTTCTCCCTCTCCCTCTCCGTCCTCCTCTCCTCCTCCTCCTCCTCTCCTCCTCCTCTTCTCCTTCTCCTCCTCCTTTCCTCCTCCTCCTCCTCCCTCTCCCTCCTCCTCTTCTCCTTCTCCTTCTTCTTTTTCTTCTCCCTCCCCCCTCCTCCTCCACTCCTCCCTCTCCTTTCTCCTCCTCCTCCTCTTTCTCCCTCTCCCTCTCCCTCCTCCTCTTCTCTCCTCCTCCTCCTCCCTCTCCCTCCTCCTCTTCTCCTTCTCCTTCTCCTTCTCCTTTTTCTTCTCCCTCCCACTCCTCTCCTCCCCTCCTTTCTCCTCCTCCTCCTCCTCCTCCTCCTCCTCTTCCTCTTCCTCTTCCTCTTCCTCTTCCTCTTCCTCTTCCTCTTCCTCTTCCTCTTCTTCTTCTTCTTCTTCTTCTTCTTCTTCTTCTTCTTCCTCTTCTTCTTCTTCTTCTTCTTCTTCTTCTTCCCTTTCCCCTTCCCCTTCCCCTTCCTCTTCCTCTTCCTCTTCTCAGCTCTGCCATCTTGTTCCTTCCACCAGCTAGGCTCAGTCTGTCTCCATCTCCATTTTTACCTCCTCCCAGCAGTTTTCACAGCGAAATCAGGATTTTAAATTCCAACCCTTTGGCCTTTTGTTTCTTTCAGGGCAAGTGTGCAAGCAAAGCCATTTACAACATAACCCTGAACCGCGTTGAAGGCATCTGCACTTGCTGCTCGGCTACCGCAACCGATGCCATGCACGTCCCCTTGCGTTGCGCCAATGGCTCTCTAGTCCATCACCAAGTGTTTAATGCCAGAGAGTGTGAATGCCTCTCACGGAAATGCCAACCGTAATCCCCTAATGGAGAGGGGATGCATGTCAAGCTTTTTTCTCCAGATGCCAGAACATGTACAATCTGACTGTATTTTTTCTTTTTTTGGGGGGGTAGGGGGGTTGGTATTGAGAGGATTTTGATACTGGTTTAATCCAAGCCACGTAAGCAGCCAAGAAAGAAACTGCATACTTGGGATGTTTCACTTTGGACTGTTTCAGGGGTGCCGTATTTTGAAAAAGCCGAAAGAATTCAAATCATTTGAATTGAGTAGTGCTGAGGATGGATATTCCCATCAAAGGACTTCTATCCACACGATGAACTGAGACAAGGTTTTCACCATATAGTTTTTTTTTTTTCTTAATTTCAGTAGTTACTTTTATGATGAATGAATAAGTCTGGCTCACCTTTCGAATCAGAGTTATTCAGCTTCTGTTACAAGCTTCAATAAAACATTGGATTAAAACCAGAGTCTTTCAAAAGCTTTTTCTTTCTTCCCCTCCCAAAAAAAGGATTACAGTGTAAGCCCACTGGATTTTCCTATCCGAATTCTGACTATGGAGCTGGAAATCAGGGATGAATAATGGGGTGGTTTGCAGAAGGAGATGAGTCAAATGTCTGATTCATTCCCCAACACAAAGGAGGAGGAGGAGGAGGAGGAGGAGGAGAAGAGGAAGAGGAAGAGGAAGAGAAGGAAGAAGAGGAGGAGAAAGAGGAGGAAGAAGAAGAAGAGGAAGAAAGGAGGAGGAGGAAGAGGAGGAGGAGGAAAAGAAGAAGAGGAGGAAGAGGAAGAGGAAGAAAAGAGGAAGAGGGGGAAGAAGAGGAGAAGGAGGGAGAGGGAGAGGAAGAAGGGGAAGAAAAGAGAAAGGAGGAAGAAGAGAAGGAGGGAGATGGAGAGGTGGAGGAGGAGGAGAGGAGATGGAAGAGGAAGAGGAGGAAGAGGAAGAGGAAGAAAAGAGGAAGAGGAGGAAGAAGAGGAGAAGGAGGGAGAGGGAGAGGAGGAAGGGGAAGAAAAGAGAAAGGAGGAAGAAGAGAAGGAGGGAGATGGAGAGGTGGAGGAAGAGGAGGAGGGGACGAGAGGAGATGGAAGAGGAAGAGGAAGAGGAGGAAGAGGAAGAGGAAGAAAAGAGGAAGAGGAGGAAGAAGAGAAGAAGGAGGGAGAGGGAGAGGAGGAAGGGGAAGAAAAGAGAAAGGAGGAAGAAGAGAAGGAGGGAGATGGAGAGGTGGAGGAGGAGGAGAGGGAGGAGAGATGGAAGAGGAAGAGGAAGAGGAGGAAGAAGAAGAAGAGGAGCAAGGAGAAGGAGGAAGAGAAGAGAAGGAAGTGGAAGAAGAAGAAGAGAAGAGGAGGAAGAGGAGAAGGAGGAAGAGGAGTAGGAGAAGGAATCATAAAGTCACCAAGGTTGACCTATAGGACAGAATCTGCTTGTCCTGTAGCAACCTGCAGCTTCGTGTCCCTCCTAGGTCCAGATACGGCCCCAATTGCATGCTCTTCAGTGGGTAGCTAAGGCGGGTTTTTTTCATTGTGCTTTTGACATCTAAAATCTTATTTCATTAGGCTGCTGGCCTTTTCCAAACTTAATTTAATTTGGGTTTTATGACTGTCAAATCCAGTTTAATTTCTAATTGTTTTTAATTGATGCTAGTTGTTTGTCCTAATGACTTGTTTGTGAATAATGAATGGCCATGATTTATTTGGCGCAAGGAGCCTGGAATGGTTGGAAGCTTGGATATCTGGCATCCATTTTTACTACATGAGCACATTTGTGGGTGGAAAATGTCTAGGTTTACTCTCAGTGGGAGTTTCAATCCAAGTGGAAAAGGAGGGAAGCCAGGCTCTGCAGATGGGATTAATATGTAGGCAAATTTTCGGTCTAATCTTTTGGGCAGCAGTTGTCCACAACTATGGCCACAACTAATCCATTTCAGTGACAGTTTCCATCCAGCTGTGTCTGGACTGATTCCCTCTGATGTAGACCAAAGACCTGGGCTGCAGAACTACCCACAGCCACCAGAAGGCAGCAAAGAGATCCCCAAACCCTGAATCCTCTGCTGCCATCTAGTGTTAACTGTTGGCTGCTTGCTAAATCACTAAAAGGAACAAAACATAAATTTTACAGATTACATACTCCTTATTAGCTAAAGGGAAAAAATTAAATACATAACGTGTTTCTTTTTCTTGAGTGACAGCCCTTCTTGTTTAGTTTATTTTAATTTCCGTAATTTAATCTCCTTTTGTATTTATAATCTTCAAATGGTTGTCTCGTTTTATCTTTGCTGGAAGGCGTTCAGAGTTGTCTTGACCGGGGGGTGGGGTGGGAGGAAATAATTCCGATAAATAAAAAATAAGATCAATAAAATCAATAAAATATAAAGTAGAATAAAATAAAAATAGTCAAATAGAGTAAAATAAAGTAAAATAAAGAAAATTAAAAAAAATTTAAAAAAATCAATAAAATTAAAAAATAAAATAAAATCAGGTAATAAAATTTATTTATGTATTTATTTTATTTTATTTCTATACCGCCCTTCTCCTGCGGGACTCAGGGCGGTGTACAGCCAAGATAAAACATAGCATATAAAATTTAAAAAACATTTTAAAAAACAATTAAATAATTTTGGCCTAAGTTTAAAACAACCCAATTAAAACCGAATTCAATTAAAAACTTAGAGGATGGGATCAAGCCAGCCCGGCTAGATGGAATAAGTGTGTTTTCAGGGCCCGACGAAAAGTCCGGAGGTCTGATATCGTGCGTATCTCTAGGGGGAGGTCATTCCAGAGGGCAGGTGCTGCCACAGAGAAGGCTCTCCCCCTGGGGGTCGCCAGCCGGCACTGTCTGGCCGACGGCACCCTGAGGAGGCCCTCTCTGTGCGAGTGAACCGGTCGGTGGGAGGCTATTGGCGGCAGAAAATAATAACAAAATAAAATTAAAATAAAATAATAAAATTGCTGTGCAAAGTCTTCTTGGCCACAATTACCTCCCCCATTTGAGCAGGAGTTATTTGTCCAAAAATATTCTCAGATTGCATACAACCCTTGAATGAGAAGATGAAACCCTTCCATTCCTGCCCCCCCCCCCCCCACACACACTTAATCCCTGGATCTAGCAGCTCCTAAAATCAACAGCCATACAATCTTGGTAGGATTAAGCCAGGATCAGTTTCTCTCCATCTCCAAATCCATGGAGGCCGCCCGTCTCTTACAAAACAACAATAACAACACAAATCATGTGTAACATCATGAAAATAAAGGGGTGTACACAGTTTGCAATGAAACATTTTCTGGATTGCCGAAAGGGAACTGAACAAATGACGGTTAGAGTCTGCGAAGGCAAAGAGTAATAGAGTTTCTCCGGAGTGTTGTTGTAGATCTTTCCCGCGTGCCCGGTGAACTTGGCATTGCTTTCGGGTTCAAGGCTCGACAAGAGCTGATAGCTGCGCTTTGATTAGAGACTGTTGATTATACAAGATAATCCCGTGAATATTTCATGCTGAAGTGAGAGCATTGCAAAGCAGGATGGTAACTCGAGAAAACCCTAAGCCGTTGTCTTATAAAAAAAAGCCATCTCTCTCTTTTTTTCTCCCTCTCTCTCTCTCCTGCTAAATAGCAGTGTCCAGCGTTGGGACTAAACGGTGGCTGTCATTGCCCAGATAAGACGATGGGATTTGTCATCTAATCCTCGCTGGCAGAAGCGGCTGCTCGCTTTGGAGACGTGGGGGCAGGCAAGTGGGGGGAGAGAACAGAGTTCTGGTGTCCTGGATTTTTTCTTTTCACCATCTCCATCTCCTCCTCCTCCAGCAAGTGGTCTCCAAACAGCAGCTGGTACCCTGGCTGGATACGCCTCAGGTCACCACACGGCTATTCGGATGCTGCGTCGGGTGGCCATAATTGAAAACAGGAGATCTGGCCACGAGGAGTTTTGGAGGTCCCCTTCCTTCGCCAGGTGGAAACCATGGCACCTGCTGGGACTGTTGCCCGCTCATGACCAGGGAGTGGGGGACCCAGAGACCAAATTCATGTAGGCAGCCCAGCTGTGTCCTCTCAACCTGGGAACAATTTGTCACTTCAGTTCCTCGCTGAGCTATGGAAGCTGAAGGCTACGGTAAGATTATCCTCGGCTTTGCAGCTGATTGCTGGTCGGTGGTAGTGGGGGTTTTCGGCATCTTTGCCTACCACGCTGGGTTTTCGCTCCCTTAGCTCTGTCAGAGGTCTCCCTCTTTTGCTTCTGAAGTTTCTTAGACGTTGACGGGCACCTTAATTGGTTTGGGAATGCAAGTTAATCCACCCAATTGGGTGGCTTAGTGGGTGGTGCCAATTAACCTTTCCCGATTGATTTCCTCAGATTGTTAACTCCAGCAGCAACGTGCTTATAGATTGCCCTTCTTTGCAGAGTCGGGATACTAAATGGCATTCCCCACCCTGCCTCTATCTACTTCTACAGAGTTGATAGGACAGACCAGCGAGATGCCGAAACAACAGAAGTTGCAAAGCAAAAAAATAAAATAAGAATAAAAAGTGCAAAGACAGATCGGTCGATCAAACTTTCTTTTTTTATTATCGCTAAAAAAAACCCCCAAACACCTGTCAGTGGGCAGACGGTACAGAATAAGGCCTTCAGGATTAATCCCAGCTGGAGTTGGCGATCCTGGAAGCAGTTTTAAAATGAAGAAAAGCTCCCCCACCCCTCCTGTTTCCATAGTGCTTGGTCTCTTTTGTATTTAACGCTGGTGGTGTTAGTTTAGAAAGCGGAGGTGTTGATCTGGCACGCAAGAATGAGAATCTATGAAGTTGCTGCAACTCTCGATGATCGAAGAGGCCTTTTCCAGCCCTGCTCGCAATTAATCTAGGTTTAAATTATGCGCTGACGTTATTATGGAAGTGTGTGTATTTGGGCCATCTTCCCGTAGCTGAAAGGGCATTATCATAATTGTTAAAAGAAAAAGAAAATAGAAGAAACAGCCATCTGGAAAAGAAAAGGGGGGGAAAAGCGAACAATTAAGCAGAACAGCAAATAAGAAAACTTAGAATCAAGCCAACAAGAACCAAAAACAGATGGGAACAATGCACTGCCTTCCCTGATACCATCAATCGGAATATTTATTTATTTATTTATTTATTTATTTATTTATTTATTTATTTATTTATTTATTGGTTCGATTTATATGCCGCCCTTCTCCAGAGACTCAGGGCGGCTTACAATGCGTTAAGCAATAGCCTTCATACTTTTGTATATACCTGCTTAGTAGGGCTTTCGGGGCCCCCCAAGTGGTGTTCTATTTTATACAAAGTCAGCTTATTGCCCCCACAATCCGGGTCCTCATTTTACCTACCTCAGAAGGATGGAAGGCTGAGTCAACCTTGAGCCTGGTGAGAATTGAACTCACAGTAATTGCAGGCAGCTGGCAGCTAAGTGCTACTTTAACAGCAGTTTAGTCCGCTGTGCGCCACCAAGGCTCCAAGGAATAGAGCTG